AGTGGTACTAACTATAAGTGCGTAGTGGTACTAACTAAAAGTGTGTAGTGGTACTAACTATAAATTGAATATTCAGAAGTTTCATTACTAAGATTCAAAGGCCTTCTCATTTTTTATCATTAATCATAGCCATCAATGTTTGTAAAGATTAATAGCTTTTGACATTTCATAATATGAAACAATACTTAAAATTAAACAGTTTCAGATTATCTTCCATTTGTAATGAAATGTAAGATTTTGTCCAATTAGCTATTTTGGTGAAGAAATAAATTACATATTTAGTAGAATAAGAAGTAATGTTATATTTTCTAGGAATTTTGATAAAACTCATCTTGGGCAGATAATGGCTGTCTTTCCCCTTGCATATGTTCTGCAGCAGGAGAAAGGTCTGCATACATTCACATCTAAGTCATCATCATCTGGTTATCATCTCACTATAGCACCAAATTTTGACTACAGTTTTGAGAACCTGCAAATAATAGGTAAGTTATTTGTAAAATATTCTTTCAGTAAGTTATTTGTACTAGAAATGTGTAAAAAATGACAATATTTAATTTTTTAGTTTTTGTCATGCAATATTGTAAAGGAAAACTCTTTTAAGTGAGAAGTTTGACATTGGAGAATTGTCTGACTTGTGTAGTTAACATGTTTTTAGAAGAAGAGTTGGTGTCTATAAATGATAACCTTAAGAAGTATATTAAATTAAACAAAATAACTACAAAAATGTGGTTAAGAAAGTAATGAGAGTAAATGTCATGTGATTTTCACTTTCCAGTCATATGTAGATTCTGAAACTTTATAGAAGTAGCTATTCTATCACTTACTTTTCTTGAATTTGGTCTCAGAAAAATCATCGAACATTGTGAAAAATTCAACAAATCAACAACAGAAAAATCCAAAATTTATGAATCCCAGCTGCTTATTAGAAAGAAAAAACATTTTCCACAAGAATCTGCTGGAATTTGTAATCAAGCATCATGAGGTATGTTGTATTAGTGATTAGGTATCGTGAGGTATGTTGTATTAGTGATTAGTTATCATGAGGTATGTTGTATTAGTGATTAGTTATCATGAGGTGTGTTGTATTAGTGATTAGTTATCATGAGGTGTGTTGTATTAGTGATTAGACATCATGAGGTATGTTGTATTAGTGATTAGGCATCATGAGGTATGTTGTATTAGTGATTAGTTATCATGAGGTATGTTGTATTAGTGATTAGGTATAATAAGGTGTGTTGTATTAGTGATTAGGTATCGTGAGGTGTGTTGTATTAATGATTAGTTATCATGAGGTATGTTGTATTAGTGATTAGGTATCGTGAGGTATGTTGTATTAGTGATTAGTTATCATGAGGTATGTTGTATTAGTGATTAGGTATAATAAGGTGTGTTGTATTAGTGATTAGGTATCATGAGGTGTGTTGTATTAGTGATTAGGTATCGTGAGGTGTGTTGCATTAGTGAATTAGGTATCGTGAGGTGTGTTGCATTAGTGATTAGGTATCGTGAGGTGTGTTGCATTAGTGATTAGGTATCATGAGGTGTGTTGTATTAGTGATTAGGTATCGTGAGGTGTGTTGTATTAGTGATTAGGCATCATGAGGTGTGTTGTATTAGTGATTAGGCATCATGAGGTGTGTTGTATTAGTGATTAGGCATCATGAGGTATGTTGTATTAGTGATTAGGCATCATGAGGTATGTTGTATTAGTGATTAGGCTTCATGAGGTATGTTGTATTAGTGATTAGGCTTCATGAGGTATGTTGTATTAGTGATTAGGTATCGTGAGGTGTGTTGTATTAGTGATTAGGTATCGTGAGGTGTGTTGTATTAGTGATTAGGTATCGTGAGGTGTGTTGTATCAGTGATTAGGTATCGTGAGGTATGTTGTATTAGTGATTAGGTATCGTGAGGTGTGTTGTATCAGTGATTAGGTATCGTGAGGTGTGTTGTATTAATGATTAGGTATCGTGAGGTATGTTGTATTAGTGATTAGGTATCGTGAGGTGTATTGTATTAGTGATTAGGTATCGTGAGGTGTATTGTATTAGTGATTAGGTATCGTGAGGTGTGTTGTATTAGTGATTAGGTATCATGAGGTGTGTTGTATTGGTGATGCAGAATCATGAGGTATGTTGTATTGGTGATGCAGAATCATGAGGTATGTTGTATTGGTGATGCAGAATCATGAGGTATGTTGTATTGGTGATACAGCATCATGAGGTATGTTGTATTGGTGATACAGCATCATGAGGTATGTTGTATTGGTGATACAGCATCATGAGGTATGTTGTATTGGTGATACAGCATCATGAGGTATGTTGTATTGGTGAT